CCTTTATTGCCTATTTCTTCAGAATTCAGGCCATAATTCATTGCGATTCCTTTCCAGCGCTTCTCTCTTCTCTAACTTTGACCGGAACATTGTCCCCAGGGGTATGCTGATCTTTGGAACATGGATGTCTAATCTGTTTGGAGTGAAACCGCCTGGCGCCAGTGTCACAAGCCAATTTTGGTGCCGGCGTCCGCAGTGTATGTATCAGATGTTTTCACACCAAGCAAACGGAGTGTCTATGTTCGGGCTTTCGAACTACCTCTTTGAATAGGCCTTCAGATCCCCATAGTTTGCGCCAAGTTGATGCGATATTCGTGGCAGGGGCAGGCCATCCAAGGGAACAACCTCGGTAACTCTGCGCTCGGGGAGGATTTCGGTGAAGATTCTGCCTGAATTTGACCAGTAAGTGGTGAAAAGTGCCCTAATTTTCCACTGCTTGAAGTTGTCAATTCTAACATTCACTTGATGGCATCCACCGTCTTAAGGATAGAACCGGCGCTCAACCATTTCCTAGGTGGGAGAATCTCGCCGATCACTACCCGAACTACTTGGCAAGAAATGAATCCTGCGAATTGATTGGGCGCCTGGTCTGTCATTAAAGTGGGTCTTTTCCATGAACAAGGTGGGCAGGTACAAGACAACGGGAGAGCACAACTTTCACCACTCTAAAATACAACTGCAGCCTCCGCCCTTCCAGTGAGGTTTGCTTAACAAAGCGTTAGCAGCTAATGTACGATCGAAGGCTCTCGCTGGCTATTTAGCCAATTGGTTTGAGCAGGAAAAGCGCAGATGCCCCAGCCGTTCCAATTGATTGCGTGGCAGTTTTTCCCTATCGAGCTGGAGAGGCTCTAATTGCTACTGCTGATTGCTTTCGGAGGTGCTTTTGCTATTGAACTTGGGGTTAAATGTTGCGTGAAGGCAGTGTAGAGCTTGACCAGATACACTACCTTCTCTAGTTGAAGTGAATGAGAAACTACTCTAATGACCTGTCTGGCTGAAATGAATGAAAAAGTACCCTAGTAACGCAGTAAGGGTATAACAGCGAAAGGGTTGGTTGAAGTAGATTACGTATTCTCCTGGATTCGGCTGGAATGGCTACCACAGAACTCGTCAACGAGGACGGAAACCTTGTGCTGTACACCGTTTTGCATCTGCCTTTTGCAAGCCATTATAGATGGACTACCTCCGTGGATCCTGTTTCCTGCCTTGTGTGGAGAGAATGGATCCCTGGCTGCAGTAGCGGGGTCAAAAGTGCACGGGAACAGGGCTGGATTGTAGTGAGACCGTTGCCGTCTCTCCGCCCGCATTCAAGTGCCACTACGAACACGAATAGAAGTCGAATCTATGGCGTAATCCACGGCGCAATTTTTTTCGAGCCAGGAAGCCCTTTACCGCGCAGTGTCCATCATTAAGTCGTTCCATCCTATCAAGAAACTCTCATCTCATTTCCGAATGAGACCAACGCTCGTATTCCGCGAACTCATTAAAACTCCTACTGGTTGACCATGTCGGTCAGAGAACAGACGACAATCTGTGGTGGTACGGGCAACGTTTATGGTCCTTAGACAGATCCACAAATATCTGAGGATACATCGGGGCAGTTCGGCGATGGGGGGGGCATTCCGCACTTTTGCTACTTCCCATTGGCGTGTCGACGCATCTAGACCGTCTCTCGAGTTGACAGGATTTACCATGCTTGGCGAAAGTTTACAGGTTTCACAAGAGTGATACTTGTGAACCAAATAAGCACATCAAGTACAAAATGCCACACCCCCATCTTAGTCTGAAACTTTACTTATAAGTGGGTCCCATTTACCCGTATACAACGCACTATTATGAAGTAACTCGCTGCAGATTGGATTATTTTCTCCAGTCTCTGGTGCTCCTTACTCCGGCTTGTTGGCGTCATTTCTCGTTTGCTTACATCAGTTGTCGTGTGACGTCAATAAGCTATAGTTAGCCAGTTTTGCAGGCGGCGACGACTATTTTTAGCGCATTTGCGTAATGTCGAAGTGTGTTGAAATAGCGCTACTTGCGAAATGGGCTTTCAGACCGATAATTGCTTTTTTCCTCATTTGTCCCAACATTGTATTTACTTTCCGCTACCTTATAGGGATATCTTTTTTTTCTGACAAGCACTATGAATTTATGCAAAAGGTAGTAATAGACTGAAATTAAGGCCCATAATCTTATTTTATAGAGCGCTGTCTTTGCGTTTGGGCAAAGGTTTGCAATCAGGGTAGAGCATCATGGGGAGAATCTCATCAGGGGGTCGTGTCTGGTCGCTGGGAAGGGGGGTTGTATTTGTGTTCGAGAAAAGTGTTTCTGTGCCACGAAGGATTTCTTGCAGTTGTTGATGTTTCTCGCTTTTTCCCCATTCCATTTTCGGTATGTCCCCAGGGTAAAGCATCGTGATGTGTGAAATGATGGTATCAGTCCCCCCTCCTGGTACGGCTCCCTCCCCACCTAGGAGAGGGTCTCGGTACGGCTCCAAGCACCATGATGTCGCTGAATGTCTACGACCCCCCACCCCATAGCGCAGAGGATCCTGTTGCAATTCCCTCCCCACCTACGAGATGGTCTCGGTAGACCCCACATTTTTCCAGTTTTTTCGCCCAAAGATTTTCCGTCGGGGGGGGGAGCAAGGGCGATATAGCCAATGCCCGTATAGCGGTATAGCCGGTAAAAACTGTCTTAGACTTTCCCCAACTTCCCCACTCCGAACTTTTTCTTTCATTCCCCTACTATTTCCCCAAAAAATATCAGAGAGAGGGCAGGGGTATTACTACACATGAAATAGGAAAAAATCACGAAAACAGTCCCTGGAGGAAAATTTTTACCAAAGCGGCATATTCCTCTCGAAGGGCACCTTACCACCCCACTCCCTGCGGAAAAGTACAAACCCCCCTATGTATTGACGCAAACGATGCTGTACCCTGTATGTCCTCTTCCCTTTAGTTGCCCGCACAGAAGAAAGACCATACAACTATTATTTCTGGTAGCTGAAATCAATTGTTGATTGAGGTGACGTATTCCCCTTCAGATCCCGCCCCCTCCCTCTTGCCTGCAAACTACATAGTCTTTTAACGTTAGAAGCCGGGGGGGGGACTGGAGTTTTTTTCATAAAACTGGAAAAAAGTTATAGCAAGTATAGTAAGTTGCACGGAAAGCCTAGGAAATGGATGGCATACTATACCAAAGCTTGGGTCGTACCCAAATGCGGAAATCTGGAAGGGGGAGAGGAGCGGTCGTATCCGGTGGTGGCGAGAGGGGGGGGGGGGGGGGTGGGGGAGATGGCTGACGCTGCTGTTTCACTCATCACTATGCTGTACCTTTGCAATAGATGATGTTGCTGATAAGAGTTCACGCCCTTCCCCTATGGCGGATTAGCGCGCAGGTTACGTGATCAGTCAATTCTTCTAGGACACCACGCTCTATCCTCCCACGCCAATCATTGATCCTCTTTTCATCCTGTCCTTCTTCTCTTCCTTCTCCTCTCCCCAATTTTTATCAATTGAACGGCGCGTCGACAAAATGTTCAGTGGCCTCTGAACTCTCTAATTAATTGAAAGCAATTTCGAGCACAGTTCAGCTCTGGAGGGGACATTTTGCAGGTCCCATCAATCACTGCTAATTGTTCCTGTGGGGTCCTGTAACGTTCACAACCTGGTGAGACCTGTAAAGTGTAATCTTTACAGATCTCACCAGGGTATGAAGTGTAATTTCATTTGAGTTAGCAAAAAGCGCAGAATGCCTCTCCCAAGCCGAACAGCGCCGAATTTCATTTGAGTAATGCCTTTTTGCAGATGCCTTGCCACGAATTCAACAAAATTTATGACCTTTCTCTCCAATGCTTTTGACGATTGAAATGTTAAACCACTTTCTGAGACATTCTCGCTTGCTTATCGATCGGTTTATTGATTTTTATTTATTTATTTACACCAAAATTTCAGTGCAAAAGCTTTCGTTCAATTGGAAGACAACTGAAAGCATCGAATGCTCAGTACGAATGACCCGACATCGAGTACGCCATCAGTGATCTTGCTTCTGACGTTGAAAGCAAGGTATAATATTCAGATCATCATGTCTCTCACTCTGATTCTCCTGCTTTTTTTTGGAAAATGCTAAATATTAATTAGTCTTGTTCGCTGCGGATGGGGCGTGTCGGGTAGGCTGGGTCTGGCTCGCTTCCAGCCCGTTCTCTACCAAGTGTTGAAGCGGGCAAGCGACAAAATTGGTGGAAAACGACTAATACGAAC